CTCCATGGGCAAAACACCACCACCTCAGTTGGCCGGTATTGTGATCAGGGTGCACGGACCGATTTGATCTGCTCCATGGACAAGACACCACCACCTCAGTTGGCCGGTTTTGTGATCAGGGTGCACGGACCGATCTGATCTGCTCCATGGACAAGACACCACCACCACCTCAGTTGGCCGGTATTGTGATCAGGGTGCATGGACCGATCTGATCTACTCCATGGAGAAGACACCACCACCTCAGTTGGCCGGTAATGTGATCAGAGTGCACGGACCGATCTGATCTGCTCCATGGACAAGCCCCCACTACCACCTCAGTTGGCCGGTTATGTGATCAGGGTGCATGGACCGATCTGATCTGCTCCATGGACAAGACACTACCACCACCTTAGTTGGCCGGTATTGTGATCAGGGTGCATGGACCGATCTGATCTGCTCCATGGACAAGACACCACCACCCCTTATTAAAAGATGTTTTTCAATAACGAATTAGATATCACCCTAATTAATATGGTATGTATCGTGCATATTTGGTATAATAAAAGCTATGAATTTTGAAAGTGAAAAAAAAAAAAGGTTTGAATATACGGGGAGATCCTTCCAGGGTCACGTCTGCAGCTAGTTCCATTTATGCAAATGGCGTCCGTTCCACGCCATCGGTTCCTAAAGTAATCGCCAAATGAATTTAACTTTTTCCACGGCCATTAAAGCTTCAGTAATTGACCATTCCAAGATCTCCCGGCTTTTTTAACTTTTACTTTTAATTGCTTCTTTTTATCTCTTTATCTTAGTTAACTGCGGCGCTGAACTTCTTCATGGATGTTAAGTCTGGCTCTGCACGTGTTCGAGTCTAGGTCGTTATGTTTGTTGTAAAGATTTGTTGACTTCCACGCGGAACCACAGTCTGTATGTACTACTGGCTCTGCACGTGTTTGTAGCCAGGTCATTAATTTGTCTTCAATATTTTCTTTCTAAGATTGATATTTCCTTTCGTTTGACCTTTGCTAAGAAATAAACTGAAACTAAAATAAATTAACAGAGAGTCATACATTGGTTTTTCTTTAGTTTCTTAAGAGTAAACTATGAAACTCATAAAATGTAGGCTTAAATCTAGGTAATTAGGGAGGTTGGCCTTCAAACGAACGATGCTAATCTAAGTGTTCCTCCCTTTGAATCGAAGATCAAGCCATGACTTAATTCCAGAAAACGAGCTGTGGATTAATCTTACTTGTTGGAATCCTGCATAACTGCCTGCTACACAAGTGATTTCATACTTCCAAAGCATCGGTACCATCGGTAAATGTAGAACATAGCTAACCACAGCGGTGAGGTAGAAGAGGCTCATCATTACTTCTTGAGGGGGAATTCTCAAGTGAAATAAATGTATTAAGGATGGCATTCCAAACATAATAAATGATTTTTCTACCACAAAAACCTTCGCTTGAAGCATTTAAAAATGGCAAATCTTCAACCTAGGTGTTCGCGCCTATTATGTAAATATTGTTACTTTAGCTAAATATGCAAATTGATTGTATAAAACTGCCAGATGGCCAATAAAATCCGTCTGTCTGTAGTCAGTCTTTGAATCGGTCTAGTTCTTTGAGTCTGTGCCTCAATTAATTAGCGTTTGGAGATTCACCTAGTTGAAGAGGTTTAACGTTGCTCATGTAGTCAAAAGGTTTTATAAAGAATTGAACGGCTCTAAATCGAGGGTAGTAATCAGAAGAAAAGGTCTGTCCTATCTAGATACAGTCCACACTCTGCCAAACCAAAACATAAAGTACTAGCCAGGCTTATACACTGCGTGACATTGAAAATGGAACACCAAGAAATAGTGGCCAGAAAATGATGAAACTCGGCAGACAGAGAGAGACAGGGACGAACAATAAGTGATCTTTATTTCAAAATGATAGTCATAATACAAAGCGAGAACGGCGTCGGCTTAGTAGCAAGTAGGACCACCGCGGACGGCGATGCACGCAGCAACACGTCTAGGTAGAGAGTCAATCAGAGTACGGATGGCGTCCTGAGGGATGGCTCTCCATTCCCTCTCAACCATTTGCCACAGTTCGTCTTCTGAACGCGGCTGTGGCAAGGCATGCAAACGGCGTCCAATGATGTCCCAGACGTGCTCGATTGGTGAGAGATCAGGAGAGTATGGTGGCCAGGGAAGCATCTGTACATATTGCAGAGCTTGTTGGCTAATGCGAGCAGTGTGCGGTCGGGCGTTATCCTGCTGATAAAGGGCTTTGGGTACCCCCTGAAGGTAGGGGAATGTTACCGGTCGCAGCACATCATCAACGTATCTTTGGGCCGTCATAGTGCCCTGAATACGAAGTAAAGGTGACCTGGAATCATACGCGATTGCGCCCCAAACCATGATTCCACGTTGTCGCACGGTGGGGCGTTCCACAATTGATGCCGTATTGGACCTTTCTCCACGTCGACGCCACACGCGTACACGGCGACTATCACTGGACAAGCAGAAACGCGACTCATCTGAGAACACGACTCTGTGCCATTCCGTCATCCACGTCGATCTAGCCCGGTACCATTCCAAACGTTGGCGCCTATTCGGTGGGGTCAATGGCAGTCTTCTTAGCGGACGGCATGAGTGCAAGCCATTAGTAACCAATCGACGGGAAATGGTTCTGGTCGAGATGGAATGATCTAGAGTGTCTTGCACATGTTGCAGAATGGCGGTACAAGTGGCTTGTGGGGCCGCCACTGCTTGTCGAAGGATACGCCGATCCACACGTGCTGACTTCACTCTGGTTGCACCGACATTCCTATAAATTGCCACATTTCCTTGTTCCAACCATCTTCTCCACAGTCGGTGCACCGTGGACGCACCAAGGTGTGTATCAGCTGCGATTTGACGTATGGACCAACCTGCCCTTTTCAGTCCGATCACCATGCCCCTCGTAAAAGCGTCTGTCTGCTTGAACTGCCTCCGTTTACGATGACCTGGCATTCTCTGTTATTACACGTGTATTTTGACACAAGAACAAAATTTCTACAATGAATTTCTTTGAAGAAATAGCTACACGAATACTGTCCTTTCTGCAAGTTCCTTCCCTTATATCTTACTCCATGTGCGCACGAGAGCTGCGCATTTTACATCATTTGCATAACTCGGTTAGGCGCGTCTACCCTGAAATTTGCATAATTTTCTGGCCACTATTTCTTGGTGTTCCATTTTCAATGTCACGCAGTGTAGATAAAGGAAGTGGCAAGGATTTTTAGCCAACTCTGCTAGGCCCTCATCCGCTACCGCCCACTAGGGTATCAGCTAAGCGCTAGGGTATATACAGTGTGGCAAATAATTTTTAAGAATGGGTTTGTAAAATAAAACAGAAACAAGCTAATTCAATTTCTACTATTTTTTTATTCAAAATAATCCCCTCCGGATTCAATACATATGTTACAACGATTTAATAAGGAATTAAATGCCTCTTGCAGGCCACTTTGAGGAATTGCCTCCAAAGTGCTCGTCGCAGCTGTCTGGATGGTCGGGATATCATAAAAAAAGCAACCTTTTAACTTCAATTTTATTTTTGGGAATAAATAAAAGTCACATTGTGCTAAATCAGGCGAGTACGGAGGATGATTCAACACACAGACGTTATTTTTGGCCAAAAAGCGACGAACAGTGAGTGATGAGTGACTCGGTGCATTATCATGCAGCAAACACCAACTGTCTTCATCGCGATATTCTGCACGAATGCGACGATTTATAGCAATCAAACGTTTCAAAACGTTTAAATAATACTCTCCAGTAATGGTTTGTCCAGCGGGAACAAATTCTTTGTGGATAATACCTCTACTATCGAAAAAGGTAATCAGCATTGTTTTGATTTTTGATGGCACTTTTCGCGTTTTTTTTGGCTTGTGGAGAGTTTTTTTACTTCTAATCGGCACTTTGGCGCTTTGTCTTTGGGTCATACTGAAAACACCATGTTTCATCACCCGTAACAATTGATTTCAGGAAGTTTGAATTATTTTCATAGGCAGAAATGATGTCCCTGCAATGTGCAATTCACACTGATTTCTGCTCGCTCGTTAAAGTGTGTGGAACAAATTTAGTACAGACTTTAGTTTTACCATAAATCTTCATGCAGAATGGTTCGAATCGTTTCTTTGTTGATGTGTAAAACCTCTGCTATCATTGTTTTCAACAAATTCTCGCACTTTTTCTATACTTTCTGGTGTCTTTGAAGAACTTGGTCGTTCAGTATGCTTATCATCTTCTAGCGTATTTCTTCCATCCGAAAAACGTTTGTGCCAAATGAAAACATTTGATTTACTCAAACATAACGTACCATAAACTTGCTTCATCAAAATATATGTTTCCGATGCACTTCTACCAAGTTTTGCATTAAATTTAATGACCGCTCTCTGTTCCATCTCAGAATTCCGACGAACAAAAAATTTTACTTTTCAAAAATCGCCTGTATGTTTTTAAAGAGTTAACCAAAATGGCTGAAACAAAGCCACGCGCTAGATAAGGCTTCGAATATATATACGCATGCGCAATTTCATAACTGGCTCTGCTATTGGCCTTTATCTAGCGCGAGTCTTAAAAATTATTTGCCGCACTGTATATAAGCAAAACTACAAAGATAAAATCTGACCTGGTGATCTGCAAGTTCGTGCCAGGATGCAGCTTTCGTATGTATGTCTATCTGAGGTGAAGAAGAGCGTTATGACTTGTCAAGTGAGTTGGAGACATTCCTTTTTGAAGACGTGGGAAAATAATTGTTTCTAAAGAGTTGGGAGGTGTTCAAGAAGCAAATACCTTTTTAATAACTTCGTCAGGAGTAGGTTCATTACTGCTTCACGGAAAGAAGGCGTCTGACTTCAATATTTTCGTGACCATAGGAAATAAGGCACAATGATGAATTTTTATACAATATAATACGGCCTATGATTGTACACACCATAGGCCGCATTATATTGTATAAAAATCACTATATATAATATTTACGAACGAAAAATATGTCCAGGATAACCTAGTGGACATGGCATCTGCTCGGTAAGCGGAACACTGTGGTTTCGATTTCCATCCCTGGGTACTTTTATTTTTCCGTTTATCATTACTCTTCACAATTCATCCTTTCATACTTCATCCCTAAGATTCGAAATAATCGTTAATTCTCCTTAAAATAAATTTCGATTTTTCGTTGAAAAGAAACACATGCGGGTTATTTTTAAATGTCGTCCTTGAGGAAGACTCTATCCATACTTGAAGACGGATACCTGGTCGAAGGTTGGAAGATAGGCTGTTAATGGTATAGGTGTTGTATCATATGTTTAAAGTAGTGCAAAAATACTTGCCTGCAGATTTATTCTGTTTATGGCATAGTCGTGTTTGAATAATAGCAATTTGGATATGTGTCGATCCATGGGGGCTCCGTGGAGACCACTTGGAAGAGTGAAAGCCAGAAGATTGTTTAGTCAACGTCGAAGGTTGGAAGATAGACTGTTAATGGTATAGGTGTTGTCACATCTATTTAAAGTAGTGCAAAAATACTTGCCTGCAGATTTATGCCATAGTCGTGTTTGAACAATAGCAATTTGAATATGTGTCGATACATGGGGGCTCCGTGGGAATGTGGAGACCTCTTGGTAATTAAAATCCAGAAGCTTTTTTAATCCACATTGATATTATTTAAATAATTGTCTTCTTCTTTCTTATCTCCACTCAATCATATTAGAGTATCAAGCTTGTAAATCTTAAGACTTTTGATGGTGTCTGCCGGGGAAGAGTAGAGCTCATCATTGGATGAGTCAATACAGTCAATAATGTGTTTTGGTGTTACAGGTTGAGAATTGCACATGGCGTCTGTTCCTCATGTCAAAAGCGGCAATTTCTTTTGGAGCTAAGTCGGCCTGCCACTGAGTAGTGCTCCCAGTCTTAATGACAAAGGCAGACGCATTCTACTTCACCCAGTCATGTGGTTGTCAATAATTGTGAAAACAAGCGAGTGTGTTAAATATGATTTTAAAAAGATTAAAAATATAGAGGACTACATATTAAATACATTATATATGAATCACATATACCAAAAAGATAGACAAATATAGAAATTAAATCATTTAATCTAATGGCTATTTTTTATACTGTGCATCTTTCATGTATTTAGTGCTTTTATCTATTCAAAACAATAAAAAATAATGAAACCATATCCTGACGAGGAGCACATGTGCTTTTTAGATGGCAGAGCGCCATCTAGTGGAACAAAAATCAACTAAACATTGATTTAATCTGTTCCCTGATATTTTGCCAAACCATTTTCTTAACAAGAAAATTTTTAAAAAAAGGCATTTCCTGATCGTGCAACTGAAAGTTGCTGATGGCTTGCGCCATCTATCGGAATAAACATCAATTATCGTTGATTTTTAATTATTCCAGAATTGGCCAAATACCGTTTCTTGATTAATTAAGAAAAGCTAACCATTTAGGCCAAATCTGGAATAATTAGAACTCAACGATTAGTTGACGTTTATTCCGATGGATGGCGCAAGCCATCAGCTACTTTCATTTTCACGATCAGGAAATGCCTTTTTTTTTTCTTAATTTATCTACCTGATCCAAGTATAAATCCACTTTTGTACTATTTTTCTCAAGAAAAGCCATCCACGAAATTTACTTTGTTCTGTAGAACGATATAAGATTATATAAGGTTAAATACAGAATAAATATAAATATGAATAAATATTATTATATAATGATAAATATAGGAAAAATAGATATCTATATATATAAAAATCAATGTTTGTATGTTTGTTTGTTTGTATGTTTGTCTGTTTGTATGTCCGGTATACAAATTCGCAGTAGTTCACTAATTCAAACAAAAATTTCCATACATAGGTAAAATAATACGAGGAAGACGTTAGGCTATTTAAAAAATATATAAATCAATTATTAAAACTATATATTCAAATTATTCTACTTAGCTCACGAACAGCGCCCTCTATCAAAGATTAGATTAAATTATGCTGATGCAAACAAATAGATAATGCTAATAACAAACAATTATTTAAAAAAATATATTATCTAAATATATATCACTCGGGTAGATATGCACACGGGTCAATCCCGGGGCGAAGCCTGGGTCACTCGTCTAGTAAATATATAAAAAATATTTGATGAATTACATATATAAATATATATATACAGTCTTCATTGGTGGCGCCCACCGCGGGAAAGACTCCGCCACCGATGGACTGCGAGAGTTCTTAGAGGGAGAGAGTTCAGACTTCCCAGTGAGCACAGATGGACTTGTACGGAGACATTACAGAGCGGATTTGTGTAATGCGCCCAGAACTTCTCCCCAGATAACGAGGGCTTAGCTTCAGTGACTAATTAAATGTACGATTTGACCGCGCGTGTTCAAATTTTATTAGGCTGGCATAACTTTTAATAGGCGCCGACTAAACATCTCCATTAATGTCCCCACGTCTAATCACCTCTAATTAACAGAATGACCAATTAAGCTATTAATGTCCGCCTAGTATTGACTGGAAGGGAAAAAAAGGTAATGGACATTACTCCGAAGTTACATTCTTAACAAATCGGAGTTCGATGGTGTTTCTTCAGTGAGTTCCGGGGTTTCTCTTCACTTGTTCTGGAAGCGGTAGCTCTGATAGCTTCCTCTGTACTGGTCTCTCTATAAATACCTCTAAAATATCTCTACCTTACTGTGGCTCTAGAAATACCTCTGACTGTGTCTCTAGTAACAGTAGGGCTCTACATATTTTTTCACAGTATTTATAGTCACAGTTTATAACACAATATAATGCGGCTTATGATTGTAGAACGAAATTTAAAAATTATCCCGCATGTGTTTCTTTTAAACGAAAAATCGAAATTTATTTTAAGGAGAAATAGCGATTATTTCTAACCTTAGGGATGAAGTATGAAAGGATGAATTGGGAAGAATAATGATGAACGGAAAAAAAGGTGTCCCGGGATGTGACTCTTGTAACAGTAAGGCTCTACATATTTTCCACAATATTATAGAAACAGTTTATGGTGGCTCTACAACAGATTTATAGTACATCTAACAACTCTGTAGTTCTAGCGATGTCTCTACGGTGGCTCTGATAGCTTTCTATGTACCGGTCTCTCTAAAAATACCTCTGGCTGTGACTCTATTAACAGTAAGGCTCTACAAATATCTCCACAGTATTTATAGAAACAGTTTACGGTGGCTCTACAACAGATTTATAGTACATCTAACAACTCTGTAGTTCTAGCGATGCCTCTACGGTGGCTCTGATAGCTTTCTAAGTACCGGTCTCTCTAAAAATACCTCTGGCTGTGACTCTATTAACAGTAAGGCTCTACAAATATCTCCACAGTATTTATAGTAACAGTTTACGGTGGCTCTACAACAGATTTATAGGACATCTAACAACTGTGTAGTTCTAGCGATGTCTCTACGGTGGCTCTGATACCTTTCTATGTACCGGTCTCTCTAGAAATACCTCTAACTGTGTCTCTAGTAACAGTAAGGCTCTACAAATATCTCCACAGTATTTATAGTAACAGTTTACGGTGGCTCTACAACAGATTTATAGGACATCTAACAACTGTGTAGTTCTAGCGATGTCTCTACGGTGGCTCTGATAGCTTTCTATGTACCGGTCTCCCTAGAAATACCTCTGACTGTGACTCTAGTAACAGTAAGGCTCTACATATTTTCCACAGTATTTATAGAAACAGTTTATGGTGGCTCTACAACATATTTATAGTACATCTAACAACTCTGTAGTTCTAGCGATGCCTCTACGGTGGTTCTGATAGCTTTCTATGTACCGGTCTCTCTAGAAATACCTCTGACTGTGTCTCTAGTAACAGTAAGGCTCTACAAATATCTCCACAGTATTTATAGTAACAGTTTACGGTGGCTCTACAACAGATTTATAGGACATCTAACAACTGTGTAGTTCTAGCGATGTCTCTACGGTGGCTCTGATAGCTTTCTATGTACCGGTCTCTCTAGAAATACCTCTGGCTGTGACTCTAGTGACAGTAAAGCTCTACAAATATCTCCACAGTATTTATAGTAACAGTTTACGATGGCTCTACAACAGATTTATAGGACATCTAACAACTGTGTAGTTCTAGCGATGTCTCTACGGTGGCTCTGATAGCTTTCTCTGTACCGGTCTCCCTAGAAATACCTCTGACTGTGTCTCTAGTAACAGTAAGGCTCTACAAATATCTCCACAGTATTTATAGTAACAGTTTACGGTGGCTCTACAACAGATTTATAGGACATCTAACAACTGTGTAGTTCTAGCGATGTCTCTACGGTGGCTCTGATAGCTTTCTATGTACCGGTCTCTCTAGAAATACCTCTGGCTGTGACTCTAGTGACAGTAAAGCTCTACAAATATCTCCACAGTATTTATAGTAACAGTTTACGATGGCTCTACAACAGATTTATAGGACATCTAACAACTGTGTAGTTCTAGCGATGTCTCTACGGTGGCTCTGATAGCTTTCTATGTACCGGTCTCTCTAGAAATACCTCTGGCTGTGACTCTAGTGACAGTAAAGCTCTACAAATATCTCCACAGTATTTATAGTAACAGTTTACGGTGGCTCTACAACAGATTTATAGTACATCTAACAACTGTGTAGTTCTAGCGATGTCTCTACGGTGGCTCTGATAGCTTTCTATGTACCGGTCTCTCTAGAAATACCTCTAACTGTGTCTCTAGTAACAGTAAGGCTCTACAAATATCTCCACAGTATTTATAGTAACAGTTTACGGTGGCTCTACAACAGATTTATAGTACATCTAACAACTGTGTAGTTCTAGCGATGTCTCTACGGTGGCTCTGATAGCTTTCTATGTACCGGTCTCTCTAGAAATACCTCTAACTGTGTCTCTAGTAACAGTAAGGCTCTACAAATATCTCCACAGTATTTATAGTAACAGTTTACGGTGGCTCTACAAACAGATTTATAGGACATCTAACAACTGTGTAGTTCTAGCGATGTCTCTACGGTGGCTCTGATACCTTTCTATGTACCGGTCTCTCTAGAAATACCTCTGGC